ACAAATAAAACCATTGTCCTTTTCGCCGACAGCCAGGCGGCAATTAAAGCGCTCAGCTCATTGCAAGTTTGGTACAAGATTGGTAGCCCTCTCAAGGAGCTAAGTACCCAAAATAGGATCACTCTAGCTTGGAACATGAGGGTCACGAGGGCGATGAAGAGGTCGATGTCCTAGCCCGTGAAGGCGCATCCAAGGCTATGATTGGCCCAGAACCCTTCTGCGGGGTAGCGAAAGCATGTATAAAGACATACATGAACTCATGGATGCAAGCCGAATCCATAGATTGGTGGAATAAGCTCCCAGGAATGGGGCAGGCGAAAGAGTTCATAAAGAAATCATCGCCCAGATTCACGGAAGAACTGCTAAACCACGACCGTGAGGTTGTAAGGGTAGTGGTGGGTCTACTAACGGGGTACAGCCGATTCAGGGAACTTGAGCAACACGGATCTGACAGAAGAAACCCAATACAGGCTCTGTCAAGAAGAGGAAGGAAGCGCATCAAGAATATCGTGCAAGCAGTGTGATGATTGAATCATTCTTCACTTTACAAATCACTGTCATTTCGGAAATGATGTCATAAGTTCTTTCAACCTTGCTGGGTTTGTTTAAAGCTGCTCACGCATTGTGGGATTTTGAAGTTGCGGAAAAACCTACCATCGTTCAAAAGTTATCCTGACATTAGGTTGTTGCCATAGCTTGTCCTATTTGTTGAAAACTGTTTCTTCCACCATCTTATTTTTCGTTTTTAGGCTTGGGTAGTTATAATAATAGGAGCGGCACCAGCACCTGCAGCAGTTGTGTTCAGTTCCACTTTTACTTCAAAACTGAGTTCGGTTTAGACAACTGTCTTGTACGAAATCATAGAGAAAGTCGTAAGCCACCATATCCTCAAATATTTGGAAAGCTTGAAGATCTTGAGCGATCATCAAAATGGCTTTCGGAAACAAAGATCAACAGGCAACCGTTTATTGTATGTCACCCATATTTGGAATAACGGAATCGAATCAAGGCCTTTGACGTGGTATAAGGGTTTGCTGGTCAGAGTTCACCTCGAACTCCACTGTTTAGGAACCCTTTCATCTGGAGAACTGCGTTTCTGTGGAATGAACTTCCCAAGAACGTTTTTCCAAATGGATTTAATCTCCAACGTGAATCGCTCCAATGTGACTCTAAGAGCGCCTTAAGGGTTTTCCTGTAGTGCTTGTGTTTTTTCCTTACAAAAAATTGCAACGGGTTTTGGTTTAGATGTGCAACACTGTTGAAAACATGTATGCGATACAAGTTGCTGTGTCCAACAAATATTGTATCACTAATCAACACTCTAGTACGATCGGGGTGCATGTTGTAGCATAGGAAAGTATCCTGTGCTATTTATCGTGAGTGACCTTTGACCTTGAAATTTAATAGTTGCTTACACCCTACCATATGTAGGTTTTGAGACAACTTTTAGGGTGTCAATATACAAGTATTTACATACTTACAGCTGGGTATCTCGAATTCCGAGATTCTTACCTAATTTAAGTTTTTAATGACTGGATTAATAGTGAGAATACTCTGATTCTTTCATGTTTGAGAATACTTTACCGGACCGGGAACGGACCGAGACCGGAGCGAGACGGCATCATGTATGGATCGAGCCTTACAATTCAACATTGGCGAGAAGGTTTTTGTAGTTTTCCTTTTTATTCGTCCTTTCGTTTTTTATTTTCAACCCCATTATGTGAATTTCGATTCCGGCAGACCAAGCTGACAGCCCTTTGGAAAATAATTCATTTGTCGAATATTGCAAGGCAAATTTTTCTTCCTGGTGTTAGGTAATATTTACTATTACCCAGAACCCACAATATCCATCAATATGTTGGCAACATTTTGTTGGCCGGTCTATTCTCACCTCAAGAAATCGATTTCTTCCTGGCATCTACTTTGCTACCTTGATATGAATGTTGTGGCTCGTGCGGAGGTTTAACACTCACCAGGCATATGATTTTGATAGCCATATTGGTGAAATACAGGTTGAATTTGAACGAAAAAATTAGTTGCTATTGATTTTTTGAATAACTTCACGGGCATAAAAAATCTAGAATAATATTAATTTTCAACTTTGTATTAGTAGTAGAATAATAGTAATTCTTAGCCGCCCCATGCGGAGCCGCGGCGGTCCGCTAGTACCTTATACAACATTTATGTTTAGCTCAATTTATCTGCCTAATTTGTACGTGATTAGGTAATCTAATAATTCGTGAAATATTTACTGGAAGTATTCAATCTTATATATTTATTATGTCTATATTTCATCAAATTCAAGTCCTGATAATGAGCTGTTTGATAAAACGGGTTTTCACATCAAAGTTCAACAACAATCTCTTTCAGGTCGAAATTTACTCAATACTACTAAACAATAATTTTCGGGTGATGACTGGACTAATTCCTCCGAGAAATGACTATTTATGGGTCATTCGAGTACTATCACTTATCTCCTCCTTTCGCTTCACCAGTTTAGCGAGAGATGACCGTTTGGCGGGAGTTGGCCATTTTTCGCTTGATTATGGGTCTCCATATGTTGCGTATCTCTAAGCTAGTTTGGCTGAATATATTGTTGGACAACATGTATGCGACTTCTTAGAATTTCCTGCTAAACCAGTCTTCCTCCCTGTGTATAATCTCGGCTTGGGACCACTCGATGTTATGTTGATGGTTGATTTGCTGGTTTCCCCTCGCTGTATGTATTTCTTGTGCTCGCCAATGTTAACTTTCAATGGCCTCTTAGTTTGACCGATATAGGGTATCCGGTAAATGCAATTCTTCTTCGCAGTCCGCGTTTGGTGGCTTGGTTTTCGTGAGGCTGCTACGGATAGTGTTACCGGATCTGAAGCAGGTTCCGATGTTGTACTTGGACCCAATTCTCATTCTTTCCGATAATCATCCGATGTAGGGAAGTGCAAGCACTGGTTGTGACAGCTTCTCTTCCTTGCGAGGCTATTTCTGTCTTTCAGCCAAACTCTGTTCCACCATCGCCTTGGAGTAGCCATAGTTGTCTAGTTCCAACTCGATACCTTCCTTTTCATTACAGAGCCCGTAAGCACGGTCTAATAGAGTCTTGATGATTACTCTTTTAGTCGATTGATGGTGGTTGGATTCGTGGCTTAGGGAAAATATTTTGATAAGTTGGCATCACTGCCATTTTCAGTTTGCGCAATGGAGCAAGATAGATCACTTCTACCGTTGCCGCAGTGTTTGGGGAGACTACTTATTTTCGGCAAAATAAGATTCTATTTGACTTTTCTGCTTTTTAATCAAAAACAAAACTGATAACAATCCGGGTCTGGACTATCTAACCGATTTCTATAATGAAGAACTTTATACAAGTGTATGTCAATGTTGTTGATTGATAACTGAAACATTCGATGTAATACAAGGTACTCTCCGATATCAGTTTGTTGCCATTTCGCCACTATTCAAAGTTTTCTTCAAGATGGATAGCCAAATACGGTCTATTTCTGAGGAGACATAATTTCATATTTCAAAACTTCTTTGACATCTGTCGAAGAAGTAAAGAAATAAGCTATCAAAAAAGGAATAACTGCGAATATATTCGAATTTTTTATCCATTTCTGAAGACGGAGGCAGATTTTGTCATCCGAAACGTTAAGATGAGTATAGTATTATTTCTTAATGATTTTTTTGATAGGCAAAATTGTTAAATACGACAAGTTACTGATAAATAGAAGATATTTCTTTGTGAAAAATACTTTGATATTTACGCAGTAACTTATCGGGGTAAACTGAAAAGTTTGCCCTTCTACACTTGTATAAAGTTCTTCATTATAATTTTTATATTTTCCAGATTGTGGAAGGTAACAAATACCCAAAAAAAGGTCGATAAAAAACTGATTTTTCCTCCACAAAAAATGACTTTCGTTGAATATATAGAATACGTTACTCAACCCTAGTTTATTTCAGAACTCATGAATATAATAGCAACGAAATTATCCTAAGAACATTCCGCAATGTGAGAAATTAATTTTCAAACAGACTTGAAAGATCTATCTTTTTCCATACGAAGCGAGTCCAATCTCACCTTCATCCAAAGGGAAGCCTACGATATGGTTTTTGGAACCTCTTCAACAGATTTTTCATTGAATTTCAGACACAACATATTCTGAACTATGAAAAAATTTAGTATTATTGCTCGCAGTACTATTTTCCTAAAAAAATAAGTGTCTATTTTTTTCGCTACTGATTCCAAGGACAAATTCCTTTCTATTTTTGAATCATTGTTCTGTTCTACTCAAATGCTAGTTGGACTATACTATCGATTTTTTTGGAAAAACTATATCTTAGCTGACACTTATAAAATGAAAAGGATTAGCTAAGGTGATAATAATAACCTAAGTCGCTAGTCGAATGTTGGGCTTTATAATGAGGAACATATCTCATAATAAGATATGAAAGTAATAATCACGCATTCTATGCTTATGTGACGTTCAAACAAGAATATGGGGCGATGATCTAGTATCCCATTTATAATTCTCACATACGGCAAATTGAAGCTGTCAAAAGAAAGTTCTTAAAATTCTTGTTTTTTCACACTACAGGCATCTACCCCTAAAAGGGAATTGACTATTCCATCCTTCTGAACCAATTTAATATTATAACGGTCACATTTCCATATAATTTATTGAATAATAACATCTCCTGTGCTCCACTCCTACAAAAAAAATAATTTTTATGTACCACGCCTCAACTCAAGATACGAGAAAACATTTCATTGTCAGAGTAGTAGAACAAATGTGAATCTCAAAGCACCAGTATAATCAGTGTGTTAAAATTTTAATTTGGTAGGTAACATGTATGATGAAAACTCTTTGAACTTTATCAAGGATTCTATCTTACATAGAACCTTTCATTTATAGTTTTTTTTATATTTTCAATTGTTTCATATCACCATTGTGAAGGATATTTCATTTATAATATGTCAACCGATTCTAATAATATTTAGATGCTTTTTTGTTGAAGCCTTGAATAGTTTCCTCATGTTACAATTCTGAGTTGCGCTTGAATTTGATATCTCCAAACAATCACAAATCGAAAAGTCACCAAATTTTGTCTTCTCCAGTTTCCAATTTGTCCTAAGCACGATTCACTAAAAATCCTTACGAACGAGTCATCCATTGAGTTCCTGTTGTATTTCAGCTAAAGTCTTGCCCCTTGTTTCCGGAACGACGTAATAAACAAAAACAGTTGCTAATGCCATCACAACACTCAAAGTATAGAAAGTAACGTGGTTCCCAAAGCTGGCATTCATCAGTGGAAAAGAAAATGTCACGACGAAGGCGAATATCCAGTTGGACAGTACTCCAATTCCACTGGCGATTCCTTTGATCTCCGGGGCGAACAACTCTCCAAGCAGCATCCACGGGACTGGACCATACCCGAAGGAAAAGGATACCATAAAAAGCATCGTACTGGCAAGTGGGAGGAAGCTCAAATGGCTCACGTCCACCTGAAGAAGTTTAAGGTGAAAGAACATGGCCAGCGACACCATGCAGAGCATCATACCCGCTGAGGAAATCATCAGAAAGAATTTTCTGTTAGCTTTCTCGATCACCAAAACTGAAAAGTACGATACTACAACTTGCACCAGGTTAGTTATGATTGCTGATAGGAATGGTGATATGTCAGTACCTGCAGCTTCAAAAATAGTGACAGTGTAGAAAACTATAGCGTTGATGCCGCACATTTGCTGGAAACCCAGTACCCCGACAATGGAGATAACAGCTCGTAGGTTGGCCTTATTTGTAATGACATCTGTGAGGTTAGCTTTCTTCAGCTTCGTTTCTAGCAGTTGTCTTTCGATCTCTCTAAGCTCCTCTCTGATATTGAACATGCTGCCTCTGAGTTTCTTGAGGTTAGTTTCGGCTTGCTTCACCTTGTTCTGGCCTACCAGGTAAACAGGAGTTTCGGGCATGAAGAGGAAGCTCCCTCCGAATAAAATCGGTGTCACCCCAAGGACTAGAGCTAGTCCCACCCAGTCAGTGAAGTACCCCACAACGCAGCAGAAGAGAATCCCACAAGACAGGAACAACTGGAAAAAAGATCCGAATGTCCCCCGGTTTCTTGCTTCTGCCATTTCACCGATGTATATTGGTGCTACCACGCATATACCACCCAAGCCTATACCCGCAAAGAACCTAGCCACCAGCACCATGATGAGATTCGAGGAAAAACATATGATAACCCAGTTTATCAGGAAGGACACTGCCAAGCCTATGATGGTCACTTTCCTTCCGAATCTATCCGCGAGGTAGCCTACTGGGATGGCCGAAACAAGTGCTCCGATAGTGAGGATTGAGCCTACCAAGGCGCCCTCGTTTTCTGTGATTTTGAAACCTGGTGAAGTATGAGAGATGTTCGACGGTGCGATGGTGGTGTTGGTTTGATTCATCGGTTGGAGAACGATGTGGGTGAGGGCAGGAGAGGTCCATGATAGCACTGTGCCTGCGCAGAAGGCTCCCAGAGAAACTGAAAGAAAGAGATGAGCCATAAAGAAAATTAGGAAACATACAAATGCAGGTTATGTATTCCATCAACAGAATGTAGATGTGGAAATATGCATCGTATTGAGATCACTTGAATGTGATCTCAATACGGTGCATAGAAAAAAAATAGATAAGATCATTTATACAGTATATTCCATTCAAAACGAGCGACCCTGAATAATTTTCGGTACAGAGATTTGCAGGAAAAATAAAAAAACACGTCAACTATAGTATACAGGGGGACACATTTTGACATATTCACATTTGATGTTACTTTCTCTATTGCACCGCCAGAGCATGTCACCAATTTTTTCAAATGGATCACCCTATATTGTTTCACATTATCAGCTGCTCCATGATGAGCAGATTTTAACAAAGTATAAAACATATGGTCTGGAGCTTATGGTTATTTGAGTTGAAAACGAGCCACCTTCAAAAATTTTTGAAACAATGTTTTGCAGGAAAAACACTGGTCAGCAGTGTTTTTGTCACATGAACTTTATGATGTATTTTGTTTATGTTGACCTATCCCCATTATAAATATATAATAATTTTGTTTCAATCAATTCTAGTTTTTTTGTGACAGCTATTTATTCATTTCTGACCTTATATACATGTATTTGTTTGAATAAAGTCAATTAGGCTGCTGTATAACTAACTACCTATTGCATCAGCTAACATACATTTTATTTTCAATAGGTATATCCCAAATATGCCACGAAAGTGTTCCACTAACCCTGACAGTTTTGTTATGTGTGTGGAGAATCAACTTTTACATCCTAGCGTCGAAATTTCGCTCCCTTAGAATATTTTGGATTTACTGTGCAGCATCAAGATAAATTCTGAGTCCCACATAAATGTTGTGTAACATGTGTGAAACTCCTATTAGGTTACGCTGAACAAGAACCTAAACATTTGCTATTTGGTATACCAATGATTTGGACAAGTTTGGATACTGGATAGTATGTTTGGACTACGTTGTAATGCCTTTTATTCGAGTCAAACAAAAATAAAAGGCATTACAATGACCAGAAAAGTCGGGATTCCAGTCCGGAACTTGTTGGCATGAGGAATATGAAAATAGTGACCCAAGTTATGAACCGCAAAATTCAAAAGAACCACACTCATTGACACAAAGTGATTAAAATGATTTAGTATGTGATTTGAATTTGTCTAGAAAACAGACTGAGCTTTTGTGGTCTAAACTAAAGGACTGGAATTTACTCTCTCCTGAAGTTTCTTATTTTCAACATCGTGACAATGAAATAAAACATTACTTTTCTACAGTAAATTATTTAGTCCATTGTAATAACATTTATGTAATGAATTTATTGAATTTTTAAAATGATCAAAGTCACTGGCGATTGTTCAGTGACTCCCCAAAAACTACTTTGAAAGCAATGATGATGCATAACAGAAACGAACTCCCTTCAGTGCCGGTTGCTGATATGAAAGAGACTTACGAAAAATGAGATTTCTTCTTGAAAAAAGTTAATACAGTGAACACTATTGGAACATTAGTGGCGATTTAATGTTTATTAATTTTTGGCAGCAGAGACAAAAAAATGCACTATTCAAATAAAAGAGAAAGACCCCAAACTCAGCGATGCGAAAATTAAAGGAAAAATATTTGTAGGCTCACTGACAACCTATAAAGAATAAGAGCTTTGGAGAAAAACTAAATGACCAGGAAAAAATCACCTGGAAATGTTTTGTGAGTGTTGTCCAAAATTTTCTAGGAAGTCATAAAGCGGAAAACACGAAGACTTAATAAAGGAACTAATAATGTCAAATGAAGCTTTGGGGTGTAATGTGTCTCAGAAATACATACAGTGTGACCCATTTTTAAAGGAAACACCCCCCTAAAATTTGAAGTTGTAAACCGATGTCAATAATTTTTTTTTTGGAATTTCAAATACTAAAAGGTCTACCTTGAGACAAAATTTGAAATGTTCATTAGAGTTTCAGGGCATACTACGATATTTTTTCTTATTCGAAAATCGGAATTGTTCATTAGCGATTTTTTTATTGAAAAAATCACTACGCCACTGGATTCAGAGTGCCTCTAAACAGGTGTAACCAAAATTTCATGGTAAAATATTCATCATTAACAAAGTTATGACAACTAAAAAATTCGAAAACTCACACAGCTAACAGTCACAAAAAACACCCTATATCATCAGATATAGCCATGGGAATATTGTCGCTATTGGGCAGCGGATAATCCTGACTGGGTAATGAACTGTCAAAGCCAGTATTCCCAAAAAATCAACGTCTGGTGTGGGTTATTGAACGAACGAATTATTGGTTTCTAGAATTTTTAAACACAGAGTTTTGGGATGCTATTCACGAGCTGCCAATCAATGAACGATCAAATTTAATTGGCCAGTTAGATGGGTGTTTAGATTCCATCAGGACATATCCCTAATGGAGAAGCGTTATGAATGGAAATGGAGTCCAGGAATGGTAGCAGATCATTGTTGGAAACTCAGAAGGGACCCACCAGAAGACAAATATTCACAAAAATCATAAATAAATAATCAAAAAACAGGTCAACATTTATATAGGAGGCCACATAGGAGGCCACAGGAGGCTATTTCGTTTTCTAATAAATTTATATCCTCCTCAATTGCCCTATTGATGCACGGTATTATTCGATTCTCCAACATATCCAAATATTCATCACAAGTCAAATTATCATCGATAAAAAAAGATTCTATGATGTAGTTACCTAAAATTCCTGCTTAAACATTCAGTTTTTGAGGTCGTTGGGTATGAACTTGACGGTATAAATGGGGGTTCGTATTACTACAATATCGACAATTTTTCCGATTCACCTCTCCATTCCAACTAAACCTACATTCATCTGAGAAACTGATTATACAAGAAATTATGCTAGTTGATCCGTTCGGTGAGACTTCCACAAAACTCGATACGTATATCGAAATCATCTTTGTTCAATTCATGAACTAGTCTAGTCTTATATGGATGAAATTTGTACATATGAAGGATCCTGAAAACATTTATACGACTGATTCCTGATTCTCGAGAAAACTTAGTGAGAGGTTGCGAATTTTTCATCAGTCCAACGTGCCCTAAAACTGCAGTACAAATAGCTTCATCGTTGACAACTCAACACGTGTTTCGATCACCAAGTGATCATCTTCAAGAGGAAGATCAAACTGATCTTCCACGTGTTGAGGAGGTAAAATAACGGTTTGGTGTTGAAGAAAAAACTTCAGTAATATTCACTCTAAGAGTAAACGGTCTTTTGCTCACTGTAGATGATCTACTGAAACTAGAAGAAGTTCAGAATAGTAATGATAAAGAAGACAACTGTACAGAAGAAGAATCCATTTTGCAGCTTCTTCCATCTCAGGTACAAAAAACGAATAAAATATCGAACCAGAAATTGTGGAGAGCCGGGAAAGAAAGAGGACGAAGATTCAACACAGCCCAATAACACGAAGCAGCAAATTGGAAGATTTGTTTAATAATTTCGATTCATTTTATGTGTTTCCTCACTTTGATTTTTTTTTGCCTTAGTGGAATCAACCACAACTACTTTTCTGTCTTGTATATGTATCACAAATTCGTTTCAGAACAGACGTTTATATTTTAATTCGGCAAAAAAGTTCATAGAAGGTGTCGCGTGTGTGTGGGAGAAGCTGATAGACATTTGGAACACCTTCTCTGAAGAAATATATTTCATGGTTTGTTCTTTATTATTATTATTATTGTTGTTGAAGTTTCATTCATTAGTAGTAAATATATTATAATTTGTTCCTTTTTATTGAAACTATGCGTTTGAATTACTGCTGTGTAAAATTTTCTCAACATTTGGCAGCTACTACTGAACAATTTCTTTCTGTTTTATCGCCGCATAGTCCAAAACCTGCTTGATCAAAGCGTGCGTTTCAAAGTCTACATGAAAAAACCTGAAATGTCTGTATTTCAAAGATAACTAACAAAACATCGAGTGTGCTACATTTTTTGAAAGGTTATTTCAAGATCTACTGAGATATGCAGGATTATACAGGGTGTCTCATTGAAAAAATTGGTTTTCCATCAATAACTATTGATATCTCATTTGAAAAGTTTTTCACGCCATTGAATTCTACGCCAAAAAATGCTTTGAAAATGTTTTCATAGAAACAAGAAATTTTGACAGGAAGAAAGTTGCGGCAACTTTTGGAAAATGCACATTTTCGAAAATAAAATGTTGTAGCTCAAAAACGTTGATAAAAATCGATACTCGGTTTTAGTCATTGCGTTTGTCACAAAATTTGACCCTCAGCCATCAGTGTTTATCAATCTAGTTTGAAAGCAGGAGTTTTCCTTTAAAAGTGTCCAATTTGGCCAACCCTGTAAATGCTTGCTTTTCAATATTTTCAAACTGAAATATCACGTGTTTCTTCAGATAGTTTGATATAGACATTGGTCAGGAAGAAGATAAAGTTATATTTTGTCTCAGAACTCATTCACGTGGTCATATTGTGATATGAGCTAGTCATCTACAAAGAGGACGAATGAACTGGCTCCAGAATTGATTCTTGTGGCATTTATAGTTGAAATGATCATGAATTAGATCTCACGTTGTTGTATTCCACTGTTGTATTCCACTATAACCTCCATTACCAAGGGCGACTTCAAGACATTAGGACACTTTTATTCAAAAAAGGTATCCTTTGTCTACAGGTAATAGAATAGCAAGGATTTACAAACACAACCAAAAACTATGAAAAATACGTTACCAAATAAAAAAGACATATTTTCTCGAAGCTCTGTATTCGAAAATTTCAGAAAAATTGATGAAGTAATATGTGCCGAATAATGATTTTGTTTCATTGAAACCTGTTATAGGGTGGATGGAAAAAATCTGGTTCAAGCAAAACCAGAATGGTAGTACGAAAAACTTCTAAGACGTTTGTAGATTTTGATTACTTCAATGAATTACATAGTCAGTGCCATTAAAATTCATAATATAAGGTTAGGTAAGGGTTGGGTTGAGTCCACTGCAACTCGCAAGGGTTTATTATGGCTCACACCTATTCACATTCGACCAAATAAACCCAGCTTCCTAACGAAGCCGATTAGTTTGCATGGTGAGTGGTCTTTCAGGTCAGATGGTAAGAGTACGGCTCTGCTGAACTCTAAAATCCTGAAACACACTGTCTTTCGCCAGGTTGAGTCTCTGCTTATGATGATCAAAATGACAGTGGCCTGTAAAAAGGCCTGTTAGACATCGTAGTTCATCCCTACTATAGTCCAACAACTGATTGGTATCAAGCTTCGAAGAGTGAATAAACACCTTGGAGTGAGGCAATCCTAGAAGATTCTGCCGGAAGTCTATAAATCTTTTACCATTCAGGTGTTCAATCTTTGTTTGGCAAAGCCTAAAGAGATGCCAAAGACAGGTTCTGGTCCGATGAAGCTGCTTGCATCACCCTCCTTTGCAAGGAAGGGTGCCTTCCAGGCCAGTATAGCCAGGAATCCAGACCACAGACAATATGTCAAGTCTTTCTATCGAGGAGAGTCGCTTTTGGCAATTTGCTAGCTCGGTAGGAGCTAAGAGCTTCCAACGCCGCTTGACTGTCCGAGAATATTTTTATTGACTTGTGTATGAGGTTGGATTCTTCCAATGTCTCCGCACACAATTCAGTGCGTGAATTTCTGCATGAAATACAGTCGCATAGGTTCCTAGACAGGTTGATATCTGTCCTGGGTCTGCGACTGGAAACACCTGCACCAGAACCGGAACGTGTTTTTGATCCATCTGTGAACCAATAACTCTCTGCTCTTGATATTTCCTTCTCCCGGAGTATCCATTCCTCTCTATTCGGGAATAGTACTTTATGAAACAGTTGGAGGCATGAAGTCATAGGTCATTTCCAAAATGATGTGACTTCCAGTGTCAAAAAACAATCTGTTGCACTTTGCATCAAATTGACTTGTGCAATTGGCAATGTGCACAAGTCTATATGATGTCCATCTATCCTCTTTCTCCAAAAAAATGTGGAGAGGAGGTAGATCTAGAAGGATCTCCATGGCCGCTGAGGGTGTGGTACTGATGGCACCACTTATGGCCAGACAAGCCTGTCTCTGTAAGTCAGAGAGCTTTGCCTGGACCGTTTTCTGTAAAGCCTTTGGCCACCAGACAATGGCACCATAAGTGTTCATTGGTCTGACAATCATCACATGAAGCCAATGGATTTGTTTGGGCCCAAACCCCAAGTTCTACCACACATTCTTCGACATGTCCATAGGGACAGTCTGGCTTTGTATAAAACTTTTCCCAAGTGAGCGTACCAGGTGAGTTTTTTCATCAAGGACAATGGCAAGATATTTCGACTCCGTTTCAAATAATATAAGATGTGCCCTGATCAAAGCAATTGTTGAGTTCACCGTTTTAAGGAATGTTTAGGATCTGTATATAATTGGGAAATATATAATTTGATATGTGCTGTTCGCTTGTTTGCCACGGATAACATCACTTATATTTTTTATTGGGATCACCTAAAATCGAAAACATGCTAACAAGATAAGAGTAATAAAACAGATAATATTCAACTTTGCCATTTACAAGCTATTCAAATAATCAAAAATGTTGTTTACTTAACATAAAATAATCGCCAAAACACCAACATGAATACAGAGGTAATCAGTTATATTGTCAAGCGTGGCATGTCTGTCAACAAAAAACAAAAAATTTTCAGAATGGATCATAATTTACTGCACGTACTCTCGAGATTGGGAAATAATATTTGAAAATATTTCTATGAATTAACACATACGTTCACTATGGAAAATATGCTCTGATTTGATATATTATGGATTATGATCAATAACAGAAATAACATTATGAAACCGAGGTCAAAACAATTTTAGTGATATTTACAACTTTGGCAGGTGACACAGTCAGTCCTAGATCTAGGAAAAGGGGTAAGCCAGGGCCTAAGCACCGGGTGGCAAGTTCAGAGGGCGGCCAAATCGACACTTTACAGACGAATGGACAACTCATATACTTAACTTTGACCTACACTAAGCACGAACATTATTTTTGACGAGGTACGTAGGCAAAGTTCATAGTTAGAAAAAATTGAGCTAGGTACTAGGCAGATCATCTCTTAGCTGCTATGAAAAAATTCAAATTCATTCCTAATTTAACTATTTGGGAAAATATTTTACGCGAAATCAATCGAATGAATATAGGAATTCAGAAAGAAGATATTATCCTTGCCCGTTCCGTCGCACTATACAGGGTGTAACTAAATAAGTGTAAAACATTTAAGGGGGTGATTCCTCATCAAAAAAAAGATAGGATCTTTCATATAAAGAAATTTCATTGGAGCATCCCTCGTGAAGATACAGCCCCTTTAATGGGGTACATAAAATTTGTATAACAATTTTTTTCACAAGCACTAAAAAAGTTGCAATATTGAAATTGATCTGACGTTTTGTACAACCAAAAAGACACTTAGCCAGTAATTTATTTGGTTCACTCCATGGTTGTAAGAGGTGGAAAACGCGTTACACCGAGTTTCTACTATTTGTCTTTGATACCCTATGCATAAGGCCGAAGTTTCATTTGGATTGATTTTCAGTCCATGTTTCTCCGAGTATAGGAATGTTTTGTACAGATCTGTGTTTATATTGGCCACGCAACTTTCTGTATCGGTGTTATGAGAAGACAAATATAACTGTAAACATCTGCTTATAGATGTACTTGACAATGTGATAAGAGAGTGGGGTAATCAAAAATAAACAGTGAAACCATAAAGGGTCCTAAAATACTTCCTTGCGGTATACCTGAGATTGTTTCTTTTAGGGATGACCATGAGTAACCATCCAGTTTGACCATCTGTGATCGGCCTGTGAGATAGCTGGTCATCCATCCAAGAGAAATGTCATCGAATCCTATGAACTTGAGCTTGCTGATGAGTAAATCTAAATTAACTAAATCGAAAGCTTTACTTTGATCAAGCAGTACTAAAATGGTGACTTTTGATTGATCTCTGAATCTCGCAAGATCGTCGATTACTTTCAAGAGGGCGGTCTGTGTTCCATGTTTTTTTGAGGAACGCAGACTGCTTGTACGAGAGTATTCGATTTTCTTCAAGAAAAGCTCTTATTTGACGGGAAACATTCTTCTCGAATATTTTAGAGAATGAGGGCAGAATTCTGATAGGGGGCAGAATGCTGATAGTTCAATTATGTTCAATACTAACTGTCGTGGTTACAACTAGGACATGTTTTTGGTAGGGTAGTAAAGGCAGTCACATAAGTTGGATTAGGTACTTACCCGACGTAGCAGCCAAATATTGGTTCAGTTTTTTGGAAGGAACCACGTCCTCCAGAATTGGGGTGGCGGTTTCCAAATAATTGTCACCCATATTTATATGTTACCCAACCAAACAGGCAAATTAATGGATGTAATAAGTAACAATGACCATGGTAAAACGTGTCAAAAAACAATATTCAGTGAAGTAAATGGATTAAAACACTGCTTCGTTATTTTATATGAGATTTACATTATTTGTAGAGTGACGGGGTAAGCTTAGAATCCACACCTGTTATCTTCTAGTTAACTGTTCTCGAGAATGAAAAATATGTTTAGTTTACCTAGATTCAAATTATTCATTCTATTGTACAACTTTATGTCAACGTATACGAAGATATGACAATGTTGATGTGGGGAAACATTTATGAGTGTTTATCTAGATAAGATTTAACAGTCCTTTGGTAGAAATATTGATTCATCTCTTAGGAGTAATTGAATAAATAAAAACTGTCATTGATTACAGTAAAATGGATATTTTTTCATCCCACATAAGTGTTCAATATCAGAATTGTTCAAATTTAGATTGAAAGTGGTAACTTTTCATTTCTTTCATTTGACGTGCTAGCGTCCGGTGTATAGTTTCGAGGGTATTTTGATTGCCCAACTTACCCCAATGCTCAACTAGCCCCGCCCTACCCTACTATTGAAATAGTGAGACTTCTGATCACACCATGAAATGAGATTACCAACCGCAGTTATACACGTTTGTTTCAAGGTATTTTCACGTTTGTCAGAGACGAATATATTGATGTCATCTGCATATTTAATGAAATTGGCCCCAAAACATAGCATTGGGGAACGCCCATAGAGGCATTTTGATATGTAGATTTAGTAGAAGATATACTAACAAACTGTTTTCTGTGGGTTGAGAAACTCCGTATCCAGTCGAGAGAAACTTCACGAATACCATATTTGTGCAACTTAGACAAGAGTAACTCATGCTGAACGCAGTCAAATGTCCTGCTGAGATCACAGAAGATCCTAACAGAGCACTCACCTGATTCAATTGCTTTGATCAATTTTTCATAAAATGACGACACCGCACTCTGAGTTGAACGTCCTGGCAGGAAACCATGTTGATTATCTGAGAAGATACTATCACTAAATGCAAAATTCATAAGTCTTTGGAGATAAATATATTCGAAAATCTCAGAAAAGAAGGGTGTGACAGTAATGGGCCTATAATTTTCAAGGTTTGCTGGATTTTGCTTTTTGTTTCAAAGAATAATTTTTGGTAAAGAAGGGTTTTGGCATTCTACTTCTCCAGATTTTTTTTTGTATAAAGATGGAAAAGGAGTAAGCCAACCCCTTTTTTCCCAAAAATTATACTCTCTTAAAATAGATTTACGTGATGATACGTGATGATTATCAGATCAATGATCACTTATGGTACAATTGCCCTGTTGGCCGAAGGTTTTACAGAAAACGGCCCAGGCAAATCTCTCTGGCCTACAGAAACAGTCTTGTCTGGCCATCAGTGGTGCCATCAGCGGTCATGGAGACCCTCTAGATCTACCTCCTCTCAACATTTTTCTGGAGAATGAGGCTAGATGGACTACATATAGACTTGTGCACATTGCCAAATGCAAAAATCAATTCAATACAGAGTGCAACAGACTGTTGGTTGACACTGGAAGTCACAGCATTCTGGAAATTACCTCTGACTTTATGCCTTCAACTGTCAACTACGAACTGCCTCATAAATAACTGTTCCCGAGTAGAGAAGACTGGATCCTCCGGGAGAAGGAAATATTAAGAGCAGATACTTATGGGTTCACAGATGGATCAACAACACCTTCCGGTTCTGGTGCAGGTGTTTTCAGTCGCAGTCCCAGGACAGAGGAACCTATGCGACTGTATTTCACGCGGAAATTTACGCTAATGAATTGAGTGCTGAGAGATTGAAAGCATCCAACCTCATACACAACTCAATAAAAATATTCTTGGATAGTCAAGCGGCGTTAGAAGCTCCTGACTCCCACCGAGCAACGTCTAAATTGGTAGCAAATTGCCAAAAATGACTCCTTGATAGGAAGACTTAACTGATTATATCTGGTCTAGATTCCTGGCTATACTGGCCTGGTAGGCAATGATGCTGCTGATTCCCTAGTGTAAAAGGGTGCTGGAAGCAGCCTCATTGGACCAGAAGTTGTCATTGGCATCGCTTTAGGCTTTCCCAAACAAAGATTGAACACCTGGATGGCAAGAAGATTCATGGACTTCTGGCAGAATCTTCCAGGATTGGCGTTTATTCACCCTTCGAAACTTGATACCAAGCAGTTGTTGGACTACAATAGGGATGAACTACAATGTCTAACAGGCATTCTTACAGGTCACTGTCATTTGAATCATCATATGCAGAGATTTGGACTGTCGGAAGACAGTGTGTTTGAGTTTCTTCCATGTTTTGTGGAAGTCTTCAGTTTCATGGCCTTGTTATTCTTGGTTACACTGTATCCATTAGATCTTAAAGCCACTTGAAGATGCTCCAATTATCCTTATAGGCGTTCCGATTCCCATATTCTACGGGTACGTTCCGTCATGGTGTTGATAATTATCAACACTATGAATTATCGAAATAATACAGTGTAACCGAGATCAACACGATCATGAAGTCACAATAGGGAGGAAACTCAAATATCCCTATGGTTACAGACAGAATTGAAAAAAATCTTAGGGAAGCATCAAATAAAAACAATGTTCAAGTCCACCAGGAAAATACAACAAAGCCTGAGATCTGCGAAAGACAAAAGAGATCCACTAGCAGCTGCGGGGGTATATCGTATTCCATGCATTTGCGGAAAAGTTTATATCGATACCACCAAAAGATCCATGGTTACAAGGCTGAATGAACATCGGAGGAACTATGGATTAGGTCAAATAGACAAATCGGCACTAGCAGAAAACGCGCTCAGTGAAGGAGATCATACGATACTGTTTGAAGATGTGAAACTACTTGTGCCCGATCATGGATACCACAGTGGGCTTGTACGGGAAGCCATAGAAATCCATAAACATACGGAAAACTACAACAGAAAAAAGGAGACGCTAACGCTTACCCGGATTTGGGATCACATACTTGAAAATGCTGAAGTGGCAACAGCTCAATGCAATCTTACGGTTCTTAGAGACGACAGGTCACTCATAAATAAGTCAAGTAATTATATCGTAACCAATAACAACCGGCTGAGAGGTACTGCGGTAATAGACACGTCATTAACAGGTAATAACACTTGGGCCAATAGCAACACATCAACAAGAGAGGCGGACTACCTGTGTCAACATAAATACAACCTACGAACTACAAATCACCAGTCATTGGTGAATCATCAAGGTGAATAAATCTCTGAAGAAGCCAGCCACTCGTGCAGACGAAACGTTAGGATGCAGTTCCTAACTACGTCGGCCTTGAAACCCGAATGAAGATAGTAACACTGTAACACAAAGAAGGTACGCGGATACCATGTGCTATCGTGGGGCTCCTTTCTGTATTGTGTCAGTCCATTGTGTTGATTACTGAAATGTGAGTGTCTTTGAAAAAAAAAGTGACGAATAAAGGATCCCCTTTATTCACGCCGGTATCCAGGCCGGAGTGGTTGGATAATCACGCTGTATATGTGAAAAAGAACCAAAAGGTCTCCCAAGCAGGAGGCGACTTCATAAAAGTCCAATTGTTTTTATAATTGATAAAAAGTTTGAAGAAAATGGGTGGCAGCATTGCTTGGTGCACCCTTCGCCCCTCGACGAAGCTCTTGTCAACCAACAGGATTAGCATTGGTCATATGCGCCTGAAGATAGGAAGCAACGACCATCCAAAATAGAGAGAGAGAAGATAGTAAATCAAAAAAGTCATATCAACTCATCTGATATGACTTTTTTCAACTATATTTGTAGTTCGTGAAAAAATATTTTCATAAATCAAAGATATGAAAAGCATGAAAATATTTTGTTGTTAGAATACCTCAAACAACTCAAAAACTCAAGTCCGTGTGAATGAAACCGAAACTTGTATATTATAAAAATACTGAGACACTTCAACGGGTGGATTTTCATCTCGGCATAATATCCATCATTGTTGAGAAGTACAAATGAATAATTTGTTTTCGTTCGACAGAGTTGCTCAAACTCCTGGAGAAAAAAACTCTCACTTTCAATTTGTACATACAAGTTTATTAGAAAATATCAACATTCACATTTGAGATCTTTCTTATATACAAAAATGACTAGTTATAATACGAATAATCTTTGGTTTTCAACAATTTTGTTTTCGATAAATTCATCGTTGTTTACTTGCGAACCTGACAGAACAGATTAATAATAAATTTGGATGTGATATTAGCAACGAATCTCCAACTAAAAATTATAACATGAGAAATTCAACGATTTTCAAAATTGTATGGATGATGGTGTACAATATTTTTTTTTTTTTTAGTTAAACTGTTCCGATTAGTACTCATTGCTAAATTCACATCAAAATAAAGTGACACACATACCTACTATTTCAAACATAACAGAGAAAACGAAGGAAATTTTAAGGCTTCAGAATGAATCGTGTACAAGTTGATAATTCTTACAATTGAAATTTATTGTTCTCCAAATGTTTTATGACTGACATTTCTATGCTGAAGTTGACGTTTATCTGTTAAATTCAAATCAATATCAATTTTGCTATAGTTTCACTATTTGTGCCATTAGCACTATAAAC